GTGTGAGTGTGAGTGTGTGAGAGTGTGAGTGTGTGAGTGTGTGAGAGTGTGAGAGTGTGAGAGTATGAGTGTGTGAGTGTGAGAGTGTGAGTGTGTGAGAGTGTGAGTGTGTGAGTGTGTGAGAGTGTGAGTGTGTGAGTGTGTGAGAGTGTGAGTGTGTGAGTGTGTGAGAGTGTGTGAGTGTGAGAGTGTGAGTGTGAGAGTGTGAGTGTGTGAGAGTGTGAGTGTGTGAGTGTGTGAGAGTGTGAGTGTGTGAGAGTGTGTGTGAGTGTGTGAGAGTATGAGTGTGTGAGTGTGAGTGTGTGAGTGTGAGTGTGTGAGAGTGTGAGTATGTGAGAGTGTGAGTGTGTGAGAGTGTGTGTGAGTGTGTGAGTGTGTGAGTGTGTGAGTATGTGAGTGTGTGAGAGTGTGAGTGTGTGAGAGTGTGAGAGTGTGAGAGTGTGAGTGTGTGAGAGTGTGAGAGTGTGTGAGAGTGTGAGTGTGTGAGTGTGTGAGTGTGAGAGTGTGAGTGTGTGAGAGTGTGTGAGAGTGTGTGAGAGTGTGAGTGTGTGAGAGTGTGAGTGTGTGAGAGTGTGAGTATGTGAGTGTGTGAGAGTGTGTGAGAGTGTGTGAGAGTGTGAGTGTGTGAGAGTGTGAGTGTGTGAGAGTGAGTGTGTGAGTGTGTGAGTGTGAGTGTGTGAGTGTCTGAGAGTGTGAGTGTGAGTGTGAGTGTGTGAGAGTGTGAGTGTGAGTGTGTGTGAGTGTGTGAGTGTATGAGTGTGTGAGTGTGTGAGTGTGAGAGTGTGAGTGTGTGAGTGTGTGAGTGTGTGAGTGTGTGAGTGTGAGTGTGTGAGAGTGTGAGTATGTGAGTGTGTGAGAGTGTGAGTGTGTGAGAGTGTGAGAGTGTGAGTGTGTGAGAGTGTGAGTGTGTGAGTGTGTGAGAGTGTGAGTGTGTGAGAGTGTGTGTGAGTGTGTGAGAGTATGAGTGTGTGAGTGTGAGTGTGTGAGTGTGAGTGTGAGAGTGTGAGTATGTGAGAGTGAGAGTGTGTGTGAGTGTGTGAGTGTGTGAGTGTGTGAGTGTGTGAGTGTGTGAGTGTGTGAGTGTGTGAGAGTGTGAGAGTGTGAGAGTGTGAGTGTGTGAGAGTGTGAGTGTGTGTGTGAGTGTGTGAGAGTGTGAGTGTGTGAGTGTGTGAGTGTGTGAGTGTGAGAGTGAGTGTGAGTGTGTGAGAGTGTGAGTATGTGAGAGTGAGAGTGTGTGAGAGTGTGTGAGAGTGTGAGTGTGTGAGAGTGTGAGTGTGTGAGTGTGTGAGTGTGTGAGTGTGGGTGTGTGAGTGTGTGAGAGTGTGAGTGTGAGTGTGTGAGTGTGTGTGAGTGTGTGTGAGTGTGTGAGTGTGTGGGTGTGTGAGTGTGTGGGTGTGTGAGTGTGTGTGAGAGTGTGAGTGTGTGAGTGTGAGTGTGAGTGTGAGTGTGTGAGAGTGTGAGTATGTGAGTGTGTGAGAGTGTGTGAGAGTGTGTGAGTGTGAGTGTGTGAGAGTGTGAGTGTGAGTGTGAGTGTGTGAGTGTGTGAGTGTGAGAGTGTGAGTGTGTGTGAGTGTGTGAGTGTGTGAGTGTGTGAGTGTGTGAGTGTGGTGTGCAGTGAGAGAACAGGAAAAGTCAGGGATGCCTGTGTGCATTACCACTGGCTGCCTCCAGGTGGCAGGGTGTGCAGAGGTCCCCATTATTCTTCATACAGCATTAGTGTGTGCTGCTATGTATGCCCACACACTAAAATGCTTTCTATAGGCCCAGCAGCTACCATGTACAATTTAAAAGAAATTCTGTCGAGTGGTGTAAAGGGAAAAGAGAAAGAAAGGATCTGTTGTTTCCATGGGCAGAGTGGCTACCTCCCGGAGGGGGCCAGTTCTTATGCTGGACATAGACAAGGTACCCACGAAGATGTCCCCAGTAACTGGTTTTGGGGGCAATTACTTTCATTCTCTGGGTCTCATTTACTCAGAAACTCAAGCATAGGGGTTTCCTCATCTTTCCAATACTACAAATTGCAACAAATTCCCCTGTGAAAGAGTGGTTTACAGAGAACCCATGGGTTGGCGATGCTGCCTTTGTTAGGGGTGGGGTGGGGCGATTGTCGTATGAAGTAGAGTTCCATCACCTGTGGAAGTCATGATCCTCCCTCTCAGCAGCAAGTACTGATTAAGGTGAGAATCTGCATATTATGTGGGATTTCCCTTCAGAAATGAGTTTGGCAGGGAAAAGAAGAGTTGGTGTTGGGGGGGGGAGCAGAGGGAGCAAGGGAGGGCTCCAAAGCCTCCACCTCAGCCCTCAGAACTGGGCACTGAAACCCTGAAAGTATATGACTCCAAAGGCAGAAATGGAACCCTGCAGCTGCTCTGACACAGGCCAGGCCAACACAACACAGAGCTGGCAATCAGCCCCTGCTGTGTCTGGATTTATGGGGTTATGCTGCCACCAGGGCTCCTCTGCCCACCCTCTTCCTATCGGGAAAGATGGAGACACTCACCAAGGACCAAGAGGCGCACTCGAGACTTGGAGGTACCTTGCAGATCTGACATCAGTGAGACAGAGCACTCGTAGGTGCCATTGTCATCCATGGTTAGCTGGTCAATGGTGATGGAGGCATCTGACAGCTCGACATCGTTAGATATCTTCACACGGTTCTCATAACGGGGGCCGTAGATGTAACTTTTCTTCACAAAATTCCATGTGACCACTCTTTCCTAAGAGAAAACAGAAACACTGCCAGGTCTTGGTGTGAGCCTGCCCTGACCCAATCTTTCACCCCCAGAACCCAGATGCACGGACCAACAGTGTCTCAAACAGGCGTGCCATGCCCACTGGTAGATTCCTAACTAGTTAACTCTAGACTTTAAAGATTTACCTGATGAAAACTTTAGGAACTGGAGTTGTAATTTAGTTGATAGTACTTACCTAGCACACATACAGGCCTAGGTTTGTTCCCCAGCACCGTGTAGGTAAACTTGGGATGGTGGTGTACACCAGTCATCCCAGAATTCCAGGGGTGCATACAGGAAAAGTTCAAAGCCACCCTTGGCTATGAGCAAGCGCTAAGCCAACATGAAACCCTGACTCAAAGCAAAGCCAGAAACAAAGCAGAAGCGCATGCATGGGAACACTGGTGAATCAACAGGGCGTCTCCAGCCGCACTCAAGGTTGTAGCCAGCATCTCTCTTCTCCTCGGTTCCCGCTCAGCTGATTCTTTATTCTCACTCATTCCTTCCTTCACCCAGCGCTTTCTGAGCACCAACCACTCCACGCTAAGCACCAGGCTAGGTGACCACGCTTGAATTCCAAGTCCATTTGATTTTGACTATTGCCCTTGGAATTTGTTTATTCATTTATTTATTCATCGATGTTTAGGGAGCAGCTCATACCACAGACAGATCCTAACTCTGCTGCCTGCTGGCTAAATGTCCTTGAGAAATGAGCCTGACTGCTTTGACTGCTTGGGACTCTGTTTCCTCACCTACAAAACAGAGATGTTGATAATAACATATTTCATGCTATTGTGGTGAGACTAACGCTGGTAATATATGCAGAGCAGTTGGGGTTTGCCTGGTGTGGTGTCTACCATTACTAGCCATTATTACAATCTACCATATTCCTGGCAATGAGTTCTGCCCTCAAAGACTATGAGTTTGAAAAACAACCAACCAGGGTATCTTGTGATGATGAGATTCCAGACTGGTCAGGTGGGGGAGGATTCCTAAAAAGGGTGATAATTGCCTTGAAGTTTGAAAAGAAGCTGTGAATTAACCAGGTGGCTGGAACAGTGTGTGCTGCTGTGAGGTAAATGCATTAGATATCAGAGGCCAAGGAAAAACCTAAAAGCAGACAGCAACATTGTCAACAGTGTGAGTGGGTGACAGATCAGTGTGAGCTGAGCCTGGGAAATAAAGGTCATAGCTGCTACTTATGGTAAGTATGTTTTATGCTATGTACTGTTCCAAATGCTAGATATGTATTATTTAACCATCACAACAGTCCTATAGACCTTATGATCATATCCATCTTACACAGAGGGAAACTGAGGCACCAAAAGGCTGATCAAGTATGGTCCCCAAGTTCACATTTTAAGTAAATAGCAGAGCTGAGGTGACTTTGGATATTCTGACTCAGAGTCTGAACTCTGAAGAGTCTACTGAGTCACATCTGAGACAGTGTGGCACTAAATAGTTCACAGTTCATCCGCAAGGCAATAATGTACTTCAGCTGTGCTGTTGATTGTTCTGTTTCCCAGTGTAGGTGTGGGTTGAACCCAGGGGCCTCCCATTGGCTCTGTCACTGAGCTTTGTCATTGGCTGAGAAGTCTGTGGTTTATAAGGTTAGTTCTTTTCTTTCCCCCAAGACAGAGTTTCTCTGTGAAACAGTTCTGGCTGTCCTAGAACTCACTTTGTAGACCAGGCTGGCCTTGAACTCACAGAGATCTACCTGCCTCTGCTGAGTATTAAAGGCACGCATCACCACTGCCTGGCATACGGTTGGCTCTTAATAGGGTATGAATGATTGGAAGGAAAAAAGGTCAGGTTAAGAAGGAACCAGGAAGAGCTGGGTGTTGGTAGAGCTTTAATCCCAGCACTTGGGAGGCAGAGGCAGGCAAATCTATGAGTTCAAGGCCAGACTGGTCTATAGATCAAGTTCCAGGACAGTTATGACTGATACACAGAGAAATCTTGCCTTGAAAAATTAAAAAAAAAAAAGGAACCAAGAAGGAGATCAACCAAGTGACTGTGGTGACAATCTTTGATTATTGTCATATTGGGTTGTGGCAGACAGAGAGTAAAATGAGTTGGAGGAGCGAGAAGGAGGACACTTGAAAGTTGGGGATGGGACTAGGGACAGAGTCAGAGAGCAGCTAATCCCAGATATAAGGGTTTAGGCATGTGCGTTTGATGGTGTCCTTCCTAACAGAATCAGCACACATGAAAAGAGTGTTTTAAGCAGAAAGTATGTGTTCTGTTTACATGGGCCATGCCTAAAGTGTCTGTGGCACACCCAAGAGGAGGAATTCAATATGACAGATGAGTTGGCTGAATGTCACTGAAATGAGATAGGTAAGGAGTTAGACTCAATGAAGCAAGGAAACCACGTAATACCACGGTAGCCCTGTCTCCTGCTGGTAGAATGCCTCTTTGTGGTTAAACAGAGTGGAAGATGCAGTTAGTGCCTCCTGGTGTATCAGAAACCAAGGCACGGGAGCTCTTTCTCGTCACCCGTGCATACCTACAAAGGGTGTGCATCCTCAAACGACCCCAGCTGCATTACCACATCACTTGTACTGTGGGTTTGACCCCTCCCCCACTTTGCGGGCTTTTCAAAAGAATCATAAGAAGAAATATCCTAAAAGCAAAATCCAGTCCACCATAATTTGAAAGGAAAGGGGGCTCATATTGCCCCAGCGAACAGGTGGCCCACCTCACATATATTCATAGAACTGCTACATTTCTACATGCAGAACCCAATGGGCTGCTACCCTCTCCCCATCCAGGTCAGTCCACTCCAGCCTCTTCGGGGTGTGTGCCTTGCCTTGTTAAATAAACTTCTGTTTTAACTCTCTCTATTTCTTGTCTGAATTCCTTCTTTTGAGAACGGAACTAAGGAGAATGCCAGCTGTAATACATCTAGGGATGGAAGTTTGGGAGCCAGAGGCACAGGTGTTCACTGAGACATGGCCTAAACCAAATGGCAAGTCCCCAAGTCATTCAAAGAGTCAAGTGGAGTTCAGAGAGATAAAGGGGAGCCCAAGCTAAGACCCCCCACCCAAGCTGAGAGGAGGGGCTCTGAGAACGGAAAGTAGTTGCTAGTGTGAAATGCTGGTGATTTCAGAGGTTGGGAGAGAAAGTAGGCATCGGTGGGCAGGGAGGAGACAGGGACGCCGTGCCTTTCCTGTTAGAACAAGTAACTCCGCCTTTCCAACCCACACAGCCTAAGTCAGGGTCCATGGCTTAGCTATTAGAACACAAGCGCCCCCAGTTGTACACCCCTGTACAAGACACAAGTTGTCCAACCATACCTGGTAGAGTTGACAGCACTTTTAGAATGTCTGGCTGAGACAGGGAGGCACAAAGAACACTGAGGATGAGGTGGTGTCTGGGCCTATGGACAGTCCATGGATGCCCAACTCTTTCCTGACTCTGGCTGGCACTGCTTGGATTTTCCACCCCAGAACATCCTCTTAGCAAAGATGCCCTAAGATTGTCCCTGGACCTCTTCCTGGCCACACCACTTCCCTAGGACTCACAGATAATAATCCCTTTCTCTGCCTTTGTTATTGGTCCTGAGGGAGCTGCCTCAAACCAGTAGCTAGTATATAAGCTCTGTGTCTATGTCAGCACTCAGGAAAAGTGAGCCGTAGACATTACACCGGCTTGCTGGATGTGTCTGCGGGAAGGCACAGTGTCCTTCAGTTCCTGATGCTGAAGACAGCAGCAAGGACACTGCTCTTTTCACTCTGGGAGCAGACAGGTGGGGCCTGTGGCCCATCAGGTCCCTGGTACACAGAGATAAGACTGACTCCTTCCTTGTCAGTCCTGTCATCCAGGACGAAGGTGTCCTGGGATTCTGTCAGGGAAAAGGCTAAAGCCTCGTTCTCTGGATGGCTGGGGACCGGATGATTGTCTCTGGCAGATGTGTTATTAAAAGTTTTTCCCTAAAGGTTCTAATGTAGAAAGGAGACCATGGGACAGTAGCAGTGGATGAGGATGCAGACAAAAGGACACACAAGTCACACAAGAGGACGTGAAGCTGATTTTTTTCTTAACTTCAACTCTATTTTCTCTTCCTTCTTTATCTGTGGTGGATAAGTGTTTTGGTCAGTTTTATGTCAGTTTGGCACAAGCTAGAGTCATTGGGAAGAGGGCCTCTCAACTGAGAAAATGCCTCCTCCAAAGGACTCTAGTGAATTATCTTGATTATTGTAGGACGGCCCCTCGCTGTGCACGATGCCTCCCCTGGGCTGTAGGTGGCCCTGGGCGCTATAAGGAAGCAGACTGAGCGAGCCATGAGGAGCAAACAGCAAGTAGCTCTCCTCCGTGGCCTCTACTTCAGTTCCTGCCTCCAGGTCTTGGGTTCTTGCCCTGACTTCCTTACAGGATGGACTGAGGTACAGAAGGTGCCTTTTGGTCCTGGTGCTTTGTCAAAGCAATAGAATCCCAACTAAGATAATAAATAAATGCAAATGTACTTGAGAGTTAAGGTGTAAAACTCAAGTTCCATGGCTTCCGCGTGGCTGTTCTAACCGGATAGAAATTCGCTGAGATGTAGACAGTTTGGGACTGGGCAGGTGTTTGAGTGGCTTCCTTAAACTAGCTGTGTGAAGGCCTTGCAAACTCATCAGAATAAAGTAATTTTATTTGTAAAAGAATTTTTTGAGAGAAAGGGAGGGAGGGAGGGGGAGGCCGGAATCAAAGTGGAGCTCCTTCTGGCTTCACCCTCTGGGAAGTGGAGTTGTGGGTGGCCTCCGTCATCCCTCTTGCCCACGTTGGCATTTTGAAAGATCTGACTTAAATGCGTGGATGCTCCGTTTCTTATAAACAGATATGCTTTTGATCACAAGTGAGATACATTTTCACTTTATCAAATCACCAATTATCAGACAGTTTGAGCAAATGCTGAGAAAACGGTGGACACTATGTGGATGAAAATGAAGATTGGTACAACAACTAATAAATGCCTTAATTATGAAAAGTTCAAGTTCGCATACCCTTTAACCCGGAAGTTCCACTCTTGTTTGTTTGTTTGTTTGTTTGAGAACCCGGCCAATGCTAGGCAAGTAAGTTCCACTTTTAATAATCGATCAGATGACATATATCATATATTACAATGTTTACTGTGGCAGAAAAATATTAGAAACAAACCAACGACATATATTCATTGGTATACATTTCAAAAAAGTAATTTTTGAAATAAGATATGGAGTCCATAGCTCAGTGGTAGACTGCAGGATCAGATGCATAAGACCCTGGGTTTGAATCTCAACCCAGAGAGATGAAAAGGAGTGACAGAGGGAAGGCTTTGAGGTCCATGCCTGTGAGGAGATCAGTCATGATGGCCCAGCTCATCCTGGAGCCTTACCGTTTCACTCCTGAGAAGCTTATCCCACTGAATGAATCCATTTCGGTCTGGAACGGAGGTAGCGTAGGTACACGGAAGGGTGACACTCTTGCCTCGAGCAGCCCGAAGGACATCCTGCGTAGTCTCCACAGAAATAGCATCGACAGCTACCCAGACTGGAATGAGAGGGGAAAATAAATAGCTCAGACATACACACTTGCTGCCTCCAGGTCCCTGAAAGGATGTTCCCAGAAGTTCTGTGGCCATATGAAAGCTGCTATGGCAGCCACCTTGGTCAGGGCATGCTAGCTGCTGTCCCCAGGGCAGGGAGGAACTTAGGTCCCCTGGTCTGCCTTCTCCCTATCCTGAAGTGTCCTGAAGAAGTACCCTGCATCTGGTGGCTTCCAGTCTCAGCCGTGTCCCTTGTCAGCTGTGTGGACTTCTCTAAGCCTTGGTTTCTCCTCAGTTACTGGGGGGGAGGGGAGGACGCTAAAAACTTTTACTACATGCTGAGCACAGAGAGCTCTCGATAAACACTTTTTGTTGTAATCATGATTTGTGTTTTTACTTACTTACTTAACAAATATTAATGGACTACTTGCTTGTCATAAAGAACCTTAATAAGCAAAAAAGAGTATTCCTAGGAACATTTTATCAGAAAAGAGTTAAGAAAACAAAACAAAATAGCCATGTCTACACCACCATTTTCTCTCTCACACACTTTCCTTCCTCAATGCATTTCCTCCATTGTGAGGTGGAATCCCTCCTTTTGAATCTGGGTGACCTCTAACTATGGGGTGGGGACATTCCATGGCTCCCAAGCTAAATTATGTAATGGAATATGCTTTGCCTGGTTCTTTTGGTATGCCACTCTAGGGACCTGACTAACACCTGGTGCGAAAGCTCAGCAGACACACAAGAAAATCAAGAGGATGTTTCTCAGAGACCAGGCAGAAAAGGTGTCTCAGTGAAGCAGGTGGTGAGGGTTTGAATAAGAATGGTCCTGCAGGCTCTTAAATTTGAATGCTTGGTCACCAGGGAGTGGAACTCTGGTAGAAGTAGAAGGATTAGGAGGCCTTGTTGGAGGAAGTGTGCCACTGGGAGTGGGTTTTGAAGTTTCGAAAAGTTCAAGCCAGGCCCTGGGTGCTTGGGCTCTCTCTCTCTCTCTCTCTCTCTCTCTCTCTCTCTCTCTCTCTCTCTCTCTCTCTCTCTCTCTCTCTCTCTCTCTCTCTCTCTCTCTCTCTCTCTCTCTCTCTCTCTCTCTCTCTCTCTCTCTCTCTCTCTCTCTCTCTCTCTCTCTCTCTCCTCCCTCTCCCTCCCTCCTCATGGATCAGAATGTAGCTCTCAGCAATTGCTCTAATGCCTGCCACCACAATGACACCATACCCTGCCCCTCCCCATACCCTTCCATTGTGACAGTGAACTCAATCTCTGAAACTGTAAGCAAGTCCCCAGTTAAATGCTTTCTTTCATAACAGTTGGTTGATCATGTCGCCTCTCTTCACAGCAATAGAACAGTGACTAAGACAGGGGTCAGCTGCTCAAATGTCAGTGATCTGTTTATACAGGGAGCTCAGAACCCAAAGACTGGATGTGGCAACATGAAGATGAACTTGGCATGAGCAGTTGGGGTGGTGAGGATGGACCTTAAATGGAAGAAGCTCAGGAGCAAACAGGACAAGAGTAAGTAGACAACTTTTCTGGAAAGGACTAGAACTCATTACAGCTAAAATAAGCATTAGACCAAGACAGGTTTGTGTCTTTAGGGAGGAAATGGTATATTTGATGATTTAAAAATATTTTGAGAAGACCAGTGGTGGTGGTACATGCCTTTAATCCCAGCACTGGGGAGGCAGAGGCAGGCGGATCTTTGAGTTCAAGGCCAGCCTGGTCTATAAAGTGAACAGAGGCCAGGACAGGCTCCAAGGCTATACAGAGAAACCATCTTGAAATGACAAACCAAAAAAAAATTTTGTTTGAGGTTGTTTGTTGAAAAGAGTGAGCCAAAAGAGAATGAACTGAACTAAGAGGAGAAGACCTTAGAAAGGACCCCAGCCATCCATCTCCTGTGACAAGATGTGGCTAAAGGCACAGGTAGGTTGGGAGGCTTCAGGGCAGCAGTATGAACAAGTGTCCTCTGAGGGTCCTGTGATGAGGTTGCACCTACGGAAGGAAAACACCCTGCTAAAGATAGGCTTCATTGCCTATTCTAGAGACATCACTGTGAAGTCTTGTTCTCAGGCAGATGAACAAGGTGTGCTGGTTATTAACTGTCAACTTGACATAACCCATCATCACCTGGAAGAGCCATCATTGAGAAACTTGAATTAGATCCATTTTGACTGTGATATGTCTGGGAGGAACTGTCTTGACTGTCCACTGAGGTAGAAGACCAAGCCCACCATGAGCAACACCATTCCCTAGGCTAGATCCCTGAACTGTGTAAAAGGCAGAGGCAGTAAGTTGCACGAGCAAGCAAGAACACATTTACTCTCTGCTGGTGAGTGCAGATATGATGTCATTAGTCCTACCTTGACTTCTTCAAAATGATGGACTATAACTAGATATTATAAAGTCAGGTAAACTCTCCAGTTGCTTTTTGTCAGGATACTAGTTAGAGCGACAGAAATGACATAAGAACACAAGATTATCTTAAAAATGCAAACACCTCCAGGGAACAAGGCTGTTCATACTTTGGTAAGCAGTTTTCACTCCAAGTACTGTACTTAAAGTGAGAGTTAACTGACTTTACAGAGTGAGCAGTGCCCAACAGGGGGTTGGATGATGAGAGCTCCTGAGGTCACTGGGGTGTGTGTGTGAAAGGAATAAGCTCCTGGGTCACTGGGGGGGAGAGGTGAAAGGAATAAGCTCCTGGGGTCACTGGGGGGGAGAGGTGAAAGGAATAAGCTCCTGGGGTCATTGGGGAGGGGGAGAGGTGAAAGGAATAAGCTCCTGGGTCACTGGGGGAGGGGTGAAAGGAATAAGTTCCTGGGGTTGCTGGAGGGGTGTGAAAGGAATAAGCTTCCAAAAACCAGCCTTATCCTCCTTGTCATTTGCAAATTCCTAGCATAGTTGAGCACAGAGACACCAGTGCCAGATGCCACTGAAAAGTCATTCAAACACTGGCTTCCTGGGCATCTGAAGCCGGCTCCTGAGCTGGCTCCCACATGGTCATGACTCTCCAGATGCTTCTCCATGTCACCAGAGGTCTCTGCATCACCCTCACCTATCAGAAACACATTCATTGTTGCTACTAGCAGTGGATCCTTTACCAGGAGGCTGTTTGCTGGGAGAGGCCTTTGAGTCTACCCACCAGGTCCCAGCTGCAGCTCTATGTCCTGTTCAGAAAGCACAATTATATGCCATTCCCTGGGTGGCTACTGGTAGTCATGGTAACTGCCATTGATCTTCACCTCGCCTCCTGCCTGGACCCATTTCCCTGGAGCTTGTCCTCAAGGTGACCATGCTCAGGCCTCTCGTGACCTGGATAATGATTCTTTCTTGTCTTGTACATGAGCGGCATGTCACAACTGCTACCACTGGCGGAGCCCAGGTAGCACTCTATCTTATTAACCAGCTCCCGCCACCAACTCAAAGAGAACCAACCCATTAAGTTACTCCTTCAGTACTGAAGTGTCCACTCACTCGTGACTAATGAATGGGATAGTAAGCCAGCTATCAGGAAAAGGAGAATAACTGGTAATACCCAGTTCCTATCTGTCCTACATAACATTAGCTACAATGGTGGCACCAGTGTAAGTACTTCATAGCCATTGCTATTTTATTCTCACAGTGTCTTTGATGTTATCCCTAGTTTCCAAATGACAAAATTGAGGTACTGTCTTGACAGGTCTTAACATGCCTTGACATGTCTTAACATGTAACTCAGAGACATGCAGCAGTTTGTTCTATCCAGATGTAGTTGACAAATGCCAGAACATGCCTGGCGCTTCTGCCTGCCCAACTGTCAGGGCAAAATAATCACATTGCCTAGGTCAGAGGTGGCAGGGGTGGTGTTTGCACTGACCTCCAACAGAATCCCTTTCCTTCACCTTTATTCTTTGTAAATGAAACTTCTACATCCTTTCTTCAGTCTATGGTCAAATATGTAACATGTATCTATTGTGTGAACCAGAGCCTCACTCTTTTCTGGGAGGCAAGATAGAAATGCATGAAGCCATCTTCTTACCAGGACAGGGCTTACAGACGTAGACTAGACTCATATACACACTTAGTTCTCTCTGTTTGTGACAGGGGTGTTGTGTATGTGACTGAATGCCCACAGACTTCAGAAGGTGTTGGGTCTCCTGGAGTTGGAGTTACAGGCTGTTGTGAGCTAGCTGATGTGGATCTTAGGAATTGAACTCAAGTCCTGTGGGAGAACAGGAGGCGTTCTTAACTGCTGAACCAGCTCTCCAGCCTCCATGAAATCCACTTAATCAAACTCCAGGTACATATTTTCCAACAGAAGAAAAATACCTTATATCAGTGAGGTATTCCACTCCTTGTCAGGGGTGAGGCCTGCCGATTAGAACAGGGTATCCTGGCTAGATCAGGGACTCTGAACATCCTCCTCCCAGCAAGACAAAATATTCCTTCTACTGCATCTTTTCTCTCCCAACTCCCCCCTTTTTTTCTAACTCATAAACACCCTTTTGATTATTCCTGTTTGTTCACTGTTGTGAAATACTATTTTAACTAGGTAAAGACGTATTACATTTGCTTATGCTGTAGAATATTACTTTAACTGTGTAAAGGTGTGTTACTTTTGTTTGTGCTGCATTTGTTTAATGATGCAAAGATGTGCTGCATTTGTTTCACCTTGCCTGCCTAAGGCACCTGATTGGTCTAATAAAGAGCTGAACAGTCAATAGCTAGGCAGAGAGAGAGAGAGAGAGAGAGAGAGAGACAGAGACAGAGACAGAGACAGAGACAGAGACAGAGAGAGAGAAGACAGGTAGGGCTGCTGGGCAGAGAGAATAAATAGGAGAAATCTAGGCTTCGGAGAAAGGAGGAAAGAAAAAGAAGAATGAGAGGAGGAGAGGATGGGAGATACGCCTGGGGTGAGCAGCCAGGCAGATGCTAGCCAGACATAGAGAAGCAAATCAAAGTAAGAAAGTAGCCTCAAGGCAAAAGGTAGATAAAGAGAAACAGGCTGATTTAAGTTAGAAGAGTT